AGCCCTATAAGCAAACTCATCTCAGCGATTTTTAGCATTTTTAGTTAATTTACACGAATGGCAGGAAAAACATTTGGAATTCCTTGCAGCGACTGGCGCAAGTCTCTGGCTAAAAATCTTGCATTCGATCGTATATAGCATTTTATTTGGCGCGTCAGCAAATGTTTGTAAGCAATTTATTTATGACATTTTTTTGCAACCGTTTAGAAGCTGCGGCTGCGGCTACGGCTGCGGCTGCTGTTGCAGCTGCTGCTACTGTTGCATTTGCCACTGTTGTTTAAATGCTGAGCGACACATTTGCCGACTTGGAATCGTGCGGCAATCTGTGGCACAAAAAAACTGGCCGCATGACGTGTCCAAAAACGCAATGAGGCACAAACTTGTAATAGCTAACAGCAACAACATTGTGGCTAAGCAGCGAGTGCAGTAGAAATGCAATAGCAACATGGACATGAGCATTGAGTTAAAGTCAGAGTCAAGTTCCATATTCATTAGTTGCAATACAAACAACAACAACAACTCGCACACACATTATGCTCAGCGTCTAAATGTTGCTGATGTTTTGTGCTAATGACTGGTGCAAGGTGTCTTGGCCAAGTGCCAGGACAAAGGCCCCTAAATGAGTTTGGCATCGCAAATTGCAGCGTAATAACAATTTTCATTACAAATATTTAGTTAAATTGCACAATTTGGAGCTAAAATTAAACAATAACCTGCCATTTTGAATACCAATTACAGGAGTTCAGAACTGGAACCGGAAATGCCAGCAGCTGCCCATCAACAAAAAAAAAAAAGTGTATATATATAGAAAACTAAGCTGTTCGGCAAATTGATAGCAAGGCCAAAAACAGGAAAATCTAAAGCAAACGAAAAATCAGCGTGCCACAAGAATAGTTAACAAGTGAAAGAAAAACCAGATTTTAGCTTGGCCAAACAGCAGCCAGGGGGCCGGATATGACCAAATTGCTAGGGTTCCCGGCGGCCGGTAATTGGCAATGCAGCAGCAGCAGCACCACCACCAGCAGCAGCAGCGGGAGCGGCAGCAACAACAACGACAATTTTTTCTTTAACTGGGCAGAAAAAAAAACGACTGCAAAAATAAATATGAGCTCGACAACGTCAAGGGCCTGGTGCCGGGGCCAAAGCCTGGTCTGCAGTTTTTTAGGCAAACCCAAACGCCAGCCAAGACAGATGTGCGACATTGCAATTTGTTACAGTTGCAGTTGCATTAACGGGCAACTTGTAGCTGGGCCACGGCCCGGGCCTAGGCCTCAGCCAGGGGGTAAGTCGGTCTCGGTCTCGGTCTCGGGAGCTGGAGTCTGGGCCTGGTTCTGGTCTTGGGCCTGGGAAGTCAGCAGGCAGAGCAACCTAAATATTTTAATGCCCCGGCCGCATTGATGGTTCGCTTTTTGCCCAGCGACTTTAGTAATTAACATTTTTTGCGTGCACAAATATTTTTCGACTTGAGAGAAAGAAGCCAAGAGCAACAGCAACGCAGCGGCAGCGGCAGCGGCAGCGGCAGATGCACATGAATTTCACAACAGAAGCTGTTGCATGAAAACTCAAACAAATTAAACTTGAGGTAAGGCCAAGAGGAACAACAACACGGCAGCCAACTGAAAAAATAACAACAACAATCGACGCGGCCTGCAGAAAACGTAACAAAATATGTTAAAATGCAACCAAGTGAGTAAATTGTGCGCAGCAACTTGCTAAAAAAAAAAAACTGAATGTTCTGTTTATGTAGCACACACACACACACACACCCACATACTTGGCTAGAATATATACTTCATAAACTAAGCAAATTATTATTTGAAGGCACACGTCCCAGGGTTGGCTCTGGCTCTAGGCTCCGGCTTTGGCTCTGACTTTGGGTTGAGTGTTTAGCCAGAGCGAACTTGTACAAAAATTAAATTGTTTTAATTACGCGCTGCCGCAAATTGTGGGATTGTGGTAGTAGTTGAGCGCTGCGTGGGGGGAGGACTAGCAGTTTATTATGATTGTTGTTGTTGGGAAAATTGTTGCCAAATAGCGTTAGCTTTGCTTTGCCTACATTAGCCACAACATTAAGTGGTTTTAATAGGGCTGAAAAAGTTGCTTTAATAATTAGCCAGTATTTTATGATCTTTTATTTATTTTATTGATTATAAAAAGCCAATATATTGAGTGTCTACCGATGAAAATATTTTATAAAAAAAAAATAATTATAAACTGAATGCCCGGAGAAATTATCATATGTATATATAATCTATACATAAGATATATATATATTTATTTTTCAACTAAATATACTTCACTTTATAAAATTAAATTTTCTTAAATTTCCTAAGAATGTTCGAAATTATTGGCAATATCAATTTAACAATTTAATCAATTTCACAATTTTTTTCCTCTTAGAAGACCTTTGTTTATATTAAGTATTTCCTTTCTTTTAAATATCTCAAAGATTATAGCTTCTGTGCAGCCCTGGTTCGTGTTGCATCCACAAACATTTTTCATATATTTTTAATTGTAGCTACATAGAAAATTTCTGAAGTTTGGTTGGATTCGCAGCTGTGGGCCAGGACAGGGCAGGGCAGGGCGGTGGCTGTGGCTATGTCGGCAGCGGTTGCATCCGCGCCCGTGCCGCCCACCACCCTTTCATCAGCAAGTGCCACGAAAATTTTTTCCACTTTACATTTTTTGCGTGTGTTCTCGTTTCGGCTGATGGGCTAAGGGCATGTGGAGGCTGGGGGCGGAGCAGCGCCCGTCGACGCAGTCAAGACAGACAATGTTACCAACTTGGCTTGCCGCTCAGCCATTGATAATTACCAGGTTGTTATATAGCACTCTCTTACCGCCATACCCTGCCTCCCCCCTCTGCCCACTAGGTTTTGCAAATTTATGTTGCTTTCGCATGCGCTTGTGGCAATCAAAGTGTGTGTGTGTGTGTTGTGCATAGAAGTCAAGTCAATCTTTAGACTGTTTTTACATAATAATAACAGTGCACTGGGCTGCTCCCGCCGTTGCTTTTATTGTTTTCATTTTAATTTAAATGCCTAAACAATAATTTGAGCATTATTCTGAAGGGTTATTGTTTTTGGTTAATGCATGCAATGAAAAATTCAACTGAAGTGATGTACGTGAAAGCCTCTCGACTAGCTAGCAATTACCTATGTTATGCAAATGCCAAATGGCAGCACGAAAATCTGCAGCCCCCTTTTAAAGAAGCGCCCAATTAGCTGACATCCGGCCGTGCTCTGGTGCCTGGCTATCTAGAAATTTATATGGCAAAAGCCACAATATCCGTTTACTATTAGAAACGCCAACAATGCCAAAGACGTCGGTAATTTTTCGTCTCAACCATATTTTACGCATTTTACGCACAGCACAGATTTTGGCCGTAACGAAAAAGATAAACCGCATTGCTACAAATGGGCGCTGGTTTCCTGTTTCCTGTGCCGATAACGGTGCGTATGGGTCTAAATTTACGACCAACGCCAAACGAACACCTTCAATTTTCAGCGCATTGTGCGTGAAATTGCATGACGCACAAAAATTTTGCGTACAGTTGTGCTCAAGTCTTATGGCGGCCATTTTGCCCACGCGCTTATGCAATGCTTTTTGCACGTATCGATGGCTCCTCTATTTGGGTGTGAGCGTGTGTGTGTGCTGGGTGTGGTGTGTGTGTGTGTGTGTGTGTGTGAAAAATATCAATAAGCACAGCCCCCACCAGAGCAGCTTTTGCGCTTCTTTTGACTGTGCGCATTTTATTTATACATATTAAATATTCTATATAGGCCTTATTATATACTTAGTTAAAATGCATGTAAATGCGTTAAACTCCATGGTTGACCCCGGGTTGGGTCAAAGTTGTGGGGGTCGGTTTGCCAATTTACGCACAAGGTATCTTGTGGGTGTCTAACGCCTGCTACCTGCCGCCACGTAGGGGTAGCTAGTAATTTTTAGCTTCAGCTCAGGCCATTTTGTTCTCCCAGGCCAAATTCGAAAGTTCCACTGAACGCTGCCAGTTCAGTACCAGTCCAGACCCAGACCCAGGGCCAGGCATTGCCCATTCCAATGGAGAGGTTGCAACTCCCCGTTGGGTCACCCCATTTGTGCATGCGTGAAAATTTTTCCACCACATCGATTACTTTACGCAAATTAGTGCGTAGATATTTTGCAAAAATGTTCTATAAATAATTGATGTGCCGTTCAACGTGTGCTACTCAATCCCCTTCTGACAAATGCAACGACTCAGTTTGCCTGCACTGTGTGTGCCTGTGTGTTTGAGTGTGTGTTATATAACTGATGTGACAGCGGGAACATTTACATTGCAATACTTTGAACGGCACTTAAATTCAGTTGAACACTCAATTTAGCAATTTTCCACAATTAGCTATGACAATTGGCCAACAAACTTCAGAAACACAAATCATAAATTACCATCTATATGTTATAAGAAAATATCTTGTGGATTAAAGGATCTTTCAAAGAAACTTTCATATACTTCTGGCCAACTTATGTCTGGCTAAAGACCGTAGCTGCTGTTGTTAATGCAATTTCCTGTTATCTAAATGTTTGTAAATCTAGGCTAAGCTTTCATAAATAGATAAATTAAACATATTAATTGTTGAAATTACATTCTTAATGCGAGGATCCGGACTCTAAAATATTCCCTTGTTGGGAATATAATTTGTAATATATATATGTTATACAAAAAATCAAATTTAATTTAACTGATAAGAGAAGTTAATTTTTGACCGACAACAACTGTAATATGTATATGTTTCCTGAACATTTCCAGACGAAACTAAAATAATTTCAGCAGAAGCATTAAAAAATGAACCGAAATTGCTTCGATCACACCCTTTCAAAAAAGAACAAATAAAGTAAATGTTTTTTTATTATTATTATTTATTTATTTGCAATACTTAATCATTTTAATCATCCCGTAAGTACATTTTAATAAACCAACTCAGAGATTTGAACCTCGACTCTGATTTAACGCCCAATCATCACTCGTAACCAATTGCGGTGGGTAAACCGTAATTGCTCAAGTTTTTGACAGCGTAGAGACGCGTAAGAAACTCCAACACCTCTGGCCGCCTCCAAGTCGTGTTTTGAGGCGTGAGCATTTGACATTTGTCGCAAATAGTGCGACTGGGAAATTGTATTTTCGGAAATTTGGGATCTTCGGTGGAATCGCCAGCTAAGCGTTGATTCACCTCATTGTGTGCCTCCCAAAGCCAAAGGATTTCCTCGTCCCGGCTGGCCACTGAGAAAATTCTGCGACGCTCTGCCATGCCCAGGAAATGCTGGACACAATCCTTGCATCCAAAAAATTGCCTGACAAAGCCGTGAATGGTGCCCAAAACAAAGCCCGCTGGCAAAACGGGCGACCTGGCCGTCTGCACGGTGAGATAGTGAAAGAGCGTCCATAGCGAACAGGTGAAGCCGCGCAGAAAAGGACCCGATGCAATGCAGCCCACATATCGCTTGGCCTTGAATACCTTTGGCAGCATGCTCTCCAACAATTGCACCTGTGCCTGAAAGGCAAAGCCACTCAGCTCGTCGCCGCCGAAGCCATTTACAAATTCATACAGACGTGCCAGCAATATATTTCCGCTGCGGTTTAAAGGACTAAAACGGTGCATAACATTGAGCAACTGCCTCAGAGCAAAGAGACTTTCGCCTGCAAAAACACGCACTTTAGGCAGCTCTATGTGGAGCAGCTTGTCAATTGCCTGCTCCAAATCGGCACGATATATTTTTGGTGCTCCTTGCAGAACAGTTGCAAGAATTGCCGCTTGTTCCTCATCTACGAGATATGAGGTAACATTTGGCGCAGTCGTGGTTGAATGAGGCAACAATGCTGTGTAGGCCTTGGACTGTAGATACTTCTGCACACTGGTCACATAGGCTGTGCTGCTATCATTTTGCGGCTGTAGGCTAAAGGATTTTCCCAGACAATCCATAATAATCAAAGAGTCACTGGTGGAGCTTAAGCCAAAGTTATCAAACAGCCGCCGATCGCTCAGTATGCGCACAGCTACAATTGGCCAAGTCAGTAGGCCCAGAATTGTGTCTCGGCCCAATGTTGAGCCCTCTGGCTGGTGGACCAGCACAATATACTTTATGCCAGTAGTAGTACAATGATTAAGCAGCGTTTTTTTAGTATCCTCAGCAGTTAGTGGCTCAAAATTAGGCTGGTCAAACGCTGTATACTTCACCTTGCCTACAAATTCGGCCAGCTGGACCAAAATATCATCTGGCACAAGTGTGTCCAACTGGAAGCCAAGTTTCTGCTCAGTTCGCTGAAAAGCGGGTGGATATAAACGCAGTGTTGGGGTTTTTCGTATGTCAAAGTCACGACAGATTTTCACATTCCGCTCCTGCGCACAGTCCACCACATAGATCGAGAGTACGCGTTGCCATCCGTACAATTTCCAGGCCAACTGCTTATATGTGCCTGCAAAGCGACGACAGTCGCCGCAGAAATAGTTGATGAACTGCACAAGTTTGCAGCTATGCGGACTATACAACTGCAGCTCCAACGTGTCGTTGTTCAATATTTTGACGTTGTCCTCGGCACTGTAGAGACTTGGCTCGGTCACAGTTGCCACAACAGAGTGCAGCAGCAGTAAGAGAATAAAGCGAAACATTTGCAGAAGATGCTGCCCGGCTTAGTTTTTAACTGCAACTGATGTGAGATGCCAAGTCGCATGGTTTATTAAAGCGCACGTTTTGCTTGGATTGTTTTACTAGGCGCAGACAAGAGACAAACAACAGCAGCTACAACAACAACAACAACAACAACACAGAATAAAAGCAGCCAGCAGAGGTTACTTTTCATTTACAATAAGCTTGAGAAAACTAATTGATCAGACTAATGCGTAGTCTTAATATGAACTGAATGGGTAGCGATTATCTCATGAGTTTATTTTAAAATACAACAAAAAGTCTTCGGATCGCTGGAGATTAAATATCCTGACATCCATTGTTGATATATCCGCCATATGAGATAAACAGTAATCCAATAATATATAAATTAGGAGAAGAATGAAGTTCATATAGGATAATTGTTCCGATTTTGAATATAAATAGGAGGCATATTAAAACTCGTAAATGCCAACTGTGCTCAAGATATCATAAAAACACAAAAACTTTTCATGCAAAATAAAACTCACAAATGTCAAACTTGGTCAAGACATCTTGAAAGAAACAAAAGAGTTTTTTATACATCAGAGCAGGCGTATAATAAAAAGAATTCAAGCTTTGAAGAAGACTGTCAAGGAGCAGTCAAAATATATTGGAAAAAGAGAAAAATAACTTGTTTTTATGACTAACATGTTTTTGGTTGCCTGTTTTTAGTGTAAACTAAACTGGCCGGCTCATTGTTCATATTTACCTCGAGCATGCTTAACTCGAAGCAACCGTTCATTCCTGTGACAGCTATGTGATATTCATATGTCGGATTCGATGTAGACGAATCTATGCAAAGTTGAAACTTGAGTTGAAGCTTTCTTATTGAATCAGACAGACGGACAGATGGAACTGTCCTTATCTTCTCGATCAATGTGTAATGTTTTAATGCTGATCATGTATATACTTGAGGAGATCGGCGATGTTCGTTAAAAAACCACAACACCTACAAGTGTAGATACATACATTTCACATATCATATTAAATTAAATATTTAATTATATCATTTGAATAGTTCTATCCAGGGATAATTCGGACAACGAAAGCAAGTTATAACTTCCTTCCTATTATTGTTTTATGCAGAGAGAGTTAATTATAAGCTCGTTCAGTTGCAGATTAAACCACAACTTATTTTAGCACTTGCTTTCTGGCGTCATAAATAACTTCACGACCATAAAACAGCTGCTGCCTAAATTCCAGCCAAATCCAACAAGTTGCCAACAGCAACAAGTGGTATGAAGTGTTTTTGGGCACAGGTCCAAAATTCAAAGTATGCTCAACTTTGTGGTTATATCATTTACATGCCAGATTATGTGAGAAAATAGGCAAAAAAAAACAACAACAAGAAAAAAACAGGCAAGAGCAACTGCTCGCAAAAGTTTGGCAAAAGTTTGGGATGTGAAAACAGATTCTTGTCTCTGTTGTCGGTTAGGCAAGTTTTGCGGGGACTCAACTGCAGCTTAAAACTTTTTGGCAACAGTTTATGAGCGCATCACCCCCCTCCCTCCACAGAGGACACGCCTTTGCGCCGCCTTGCTGAGCTTGCAACTTGATGGTGAGTAATTTAATTACGAGAACGAGACGAGTTTCATTCCATCATCAGCTGACGGCTGTTGTTGCTGGCATATTTTATGGCAAATTAACTATGGAAAGGCGTTGCAGTGGAAAGTGCTAAGCGTTGCATGAGGCATGTTTGAGTCCTGTTAAATGAGTGCGGGTTAAAAGTTAAACAAAATAGCCATCGGGGCGTATACGCAATAAAGCTAATTTGACTTTTATTACAACTCTTGCTAACTGTTCAAATGCAAATAGATATTCTTTGCTGGTTCATAAGCTGAGATTAGATTCAGACTAATATAAAAAGCGCAAGGAATTTGTATGTTTAATTAGTTCTATGGTTTTTCGAATTAATTTTAATGCCACAATTATTGTCGCACTAATTTGCAATCGGCAGGCAAAGACAATGGCTGAGCAAACAAGAGCCTAGCTATTAAAACTTAGATCTCACACACTTACACGCATATACACACACACACACACACAAGCAAATACGCACACACACATCATGATTATTAACAATGCACTCCGACTGACATGAACAATGTTGCAAATCGGTTTGCAAATCAGGCAGCAACGAACAGGCAACCAGTCAACGACATGGCAGTCAGTAAAAATTGCGTAAAATACAAATATTGTGCAAAGGTTTTGTGTGATTTTTTTTCTCCTTTTTTTCTTTTTTTGTGCCAGGATGCGCTGCGTACGGAAGCTGGGGGTGGCGGCCGGATAAAGGCAGTGGGACGGCAGCAGTCCATCAAAACGATTTGAATGCGTCGTTGACGTTGATGAGTTTGAGTGAAAAGCGGATCGTGAAGCAGTCAGTAGGCAGCAGGGAGGTGGCAGGAGGCACGAGGCAGTAACAACAACGAGCCAAGTTCGTCAATCAAAAGCCAAACCAAAATCTCCTCATGCGTGGCACAGAGCAGTGGCAAAGCCAAAGGCTGATGAGCCTGCCATTGCTGATGCCGACGATGATGCGTTCTGCTGTTTGTTTTGTTTTAATTTTCTCGATTTTTTTTCTATTTTTCTTCTTTTTTTTGCATGCCTTTTCCCTTTTACGTTTTTTTTTTTTCGTATTTGAAAAACTCTTCAGTTTTGAATTGTTGCCATGTTTTTATTGTTGTTGAGTTTGGTTTAGTTTGTGCGTGGCGGGCATATATGGTTCCGCAGCTCTCTAAGCGGCAGTCAGTGTATCCGTATCCGTTGTGCCTTACACTGTTTGCACACTCGGAACGGGAACGCGTTTGACATTTCATCAGGCGGGCGACGGCGATTGTCTGAAATTGCGACCGTTGCAGCAGCTAAGGATTTGATTTGATGTGCGTCCGTCAAAAGAGAGAGCGCGGGAGAGAGTTCTGTAGGCGGGCATCACCACCAGCAACAATGCACTGAAAATTGCATTGTTAGCAAAACACTACAATCTGGCCAAAGTGCCCGATATGTGAGCGCCCACACACAAACACACACACACACACACATGCCTAATACACACTCACACACTCGCACCCACGCATTTTGATGGCAGACTCACGCATGCACTTGACAAGTCAACCAGCCAGGCAGGATGCCATCCCTGCATTCGGCCTGCCAGCATTTACTTCCGTTTTTAATTAAAAATAAAAAATAAAAACCCAAACAAACCAAACAATAACCTACCGCAGCCAGCGAAAAATATGCGAATAAAAAAACAGAGAGATTCACAATTATTTGCGTATAAAATAAAAAAAAAAAATGCATGTTCGTATGAAGCAAAAAAAAAAATTGCAAACCACACAAATACATTTACTACATCAACAGCAAGCGAGGGTCGTCCGGCTCTCACATGCGCTTATTTGCATGCGTATCCTGCATATACGCACTTTGGACTGCAGCGCTAGCTAGACCTTAGGCTGTTGGGGGGCGAACCGGGGCGTGGCAGACGCTGGACACAAGAGTGACAGAGTCGTGCAGATTGGGAATGAGACAACAGCAGCTCTTAATTTGCCTGCAGATGCAGCAAACTAATGAAAATTACGCAATTTGAAAAATGAAAAAATAAAAAAAATGTTGAGCCTGGAAAATGCTGCTAAACGGGGTGGTATAGAATAAATGGCTACAGCATGTTGCTTGCTTAGATATGCCGCTAAAAAAACGAAGCTATAAAGAAAATAAATCAATTTGAGGAAAAGAATTCAACACGATAGACTTTTTGCTAGAGAATATTTGCAGGAATTTAAGCTTTTTTAGATTATGTGCATTATGAATAGATATGTAAAGAAAACAAATTAATTTATAATTTAAGGAAATGAATTCAGCACTGGCAACTTTCTGCCAAAGGATATTTGCAGCAATAAAGGCTGTATAATAATTCATTATGAATAGATTTGTAAAGAAAACAGGTCTATTTAAGGAAAACGATTCAACACTGGAGACTTTCTTCTAAAGGAGATATACAGGAATTTAAGCTGTTTTAGATTATGTTCATTATAAATAGATATGTACAGAAAAGAAGTCAATTTAACAGTAGAGACCTTCTGCTATAGGATATTTTCGCGATTGTATCTTCTATTAAGTTATGCTATGTTTATGCTTGTGTATATTTTTCTACACATGACTCCAAAAAATATATCGCATCTACATGCGAATATGCCCAGTTCTGTTCATGTAAGCCAGCGTTAAATATCTTCCATCTGCTATCCTTTTTCACTCTCACTTTAATCACAAATATTGCCCGCTGGCCACAATATATGAACAAATATAAACAGCCAAGCGTTTGAATTAAATTAGACTGACAATTTTACAGAAATTTTATTTATTTTTCCACATTTTTTTTTAAATATTTTTTTTTTCATTTTTATTATTATTTGTGTTTGTTTTAGCAACTCGTAAGCCACAAACGAGTAGACTAATTTAAATAGGCTTAAGGTTTAGCTAATGGTAAGTCTAATTAGGTGCGGGAAAAAGGATCCCAGACCAAAGCATTCAACTGCATTTGCCAGCTTTGGGAGCCTATTAAAAATGCGCTCATTGGTAATGAACAAAATAACAGAAGCCGCAGGAACATCTGCTGCATGCAGCAGCCAATGATGCCTCATTAAAATGCACTTAATTAAAATGCAATGGTAAAATCAACAGCAAATGCAATTGCAACTGCAACTGCTGCAGCGACTGCCAATGCAACGGCGACGCTTGTCCGCTGAGAGATCGCGTATATGACTAAATCCAGTTTGGGTTTCGATAGAAAAACAACAACACGAGCACAAACAACAACGAAAAATTACAAGACAAGCCAAAGAACAAGCAAAACGAACAACACCAAGAATGAAGAGTGTTGCAGCTGATGAATATGGAACTTGGCTTTGACTTTGTAACTATTTCAGTGCGTCCATCCCTCCGTCCCTCCATGCATCCAACCTCCGCCTGC